CAAAAAAAAAAAAAAAAATCCAAAATTTAGTTTTAACCTGATGTTGGACTCTTCTAAACTGTGTGTGTGTGTGTGTGTTGCACTAATTCTTGACTTTGGGTCATTTGAAGGCCCACTGCCATTGTACAGGTCCTGGGGTTGCCCATTTATCTCTGCAAATGGAATTAAACCAAATACAGTGCTTCCACTGGAAGGCCCATATTGACCTTGTAACTATATTTAATCCTCTATGTGGTAAATAGAGTTGGAGATAGTGTCACTAAGGTAGGTAGTTGGAATCAGGAAAGGTCTCTTTGCGGAGGTAATATGTGAAACATTTTGAAAGCTGTGAGGAGGCAAACCACAATGAAACAGAAGAAACACATTTTAGGCAGAGAGAAAAGGAAGTACGAAGGTCCTGAGGTAGGAGTTAATTTGGCTAGAGGTGGGTAGTGAGGAGAGAGGAGGTTGGAGAAGTGGTCACTGCAGTGTGGTGGGAAAGAGCTCAGGTTGGACAGCCAACCTGTCTGGCTTCAAATTCCAGCTTTCCCATTTCGTTTGACCTCAGGCAAATTATTTTGCTTCTCTTTGTCTTAGATTTCCTCATCTGTAAAGTGGTGTCTTAGATCAGTTCCCCTATAGCAATGACAGATGAGAATTCATGGGCAAATGATTGATTGAGGGAGTGCTCTTGGAAAAAAATTCTGTAATGGAGAAAAAACAGGCAGAAAAGAAGAGTTTCAGGAGTAGTGTATCCTCAGCCTGGCCCTATAGTTACTCTGCCCAGAGGTGAGGGAGCTGGGCCATTAGGTTCCTGTGTCAGGCAGTCATTAACTACTGGCTGTGGGAAGACGGGCTGGAGGAGTGACTAGGTGCCTTTCCTCAACCAAGGGCAGTCCTCCAAATAAAGGTGCAGGGTTGAGCTGTTAGCAGCGGTTGAGGTGTGGCTGCGTCAGCCCTGTGAAGGGAATCTGGGTGAGTCACCAGCAGCATCTGCTGCAAATGAGGATGTCAGAAGCACATAACTGCAGGACTGTTGAGAGAATTAAATAAATCCATTTAAATCAAGTGCTTAGCACAGCACCTGGATCAATAAACCTTAGTGGAAGCCAAATCTTGTCAGGCCTTGCAAGCTACAGTAAGGAGTTTAGATTGGTGGAGAAACAAGTAGGAGACAGGCACGAGCAGGGATACTAGTTGGGAAGCTTTTCCACATGTCTAGTTACGACCTGGTAGTAGTTTGGACCTGGCTGATGGAGCCAGAAGTAGTTATTCATAGCTAGAGGGGAACTAGAGCACAGTTCATGGAAGAGAATTTAAGCTGGAACTTGAAGGAAGAGATTTGAAAGGGAATCTTGAGGGAACCATGGAGAGAGAAAGCACAGGTGACCTGTCTTGACCGGTAAGTCGTTAATCAATGTGGTAATGAAAGGGAAAAAATAGAAGAGGGTGCTGAAAGATCTGGGCCAGGACATGAGGACTCAGGGTCTTACTGATTACTGTTTGGGTTTTATTGGGTAAAAGAGAAGTTAGAGGAATAAGAACAGAGACACGGCTACAGAGAACAGGACTGACAGAGGAAAACCAATCTGGCAAGAGGAGCAAACTCAAAAGAGTGTTATCAACCAT